TCGTGAATCTGATGTAATATCGTAACTATCCGAAATAAAGCTCATGCCAATGGCCTAAGTGGTCACCTTTAATATTATAAAAAAAAAAAAAAAGAAAAGATACAATTTGAAATTTAATAAATTTTATATCTAGTTGTTCAACAGACATTGTATTTTAATAAAAAGAGGCAATTTTTTTTAAAAAACTTTTATTAAAGATTTATTTAATTCCTGGATTTTTGATATTAGTTACACAAATTTGTATGATACACGTGTATTGCAATAAATGCAAATCGAGTATATGGTACGTAGAAAAGTGATATTTTTTTACCAAGTAAATTGAACTTAGAGCATTACAAGCATTTTAATCAATGGGTCAAGTATGTTAAAGAATAAATTTTATATAGCAGAAAATACTTTTAGCAGGTCAAGTGTGCTTGATTATAATGATATATACATAGTTATTGCATAAATAGAATAAATTTTATGTAAATATAGATTTTATATAAATTTAATAAATATAATTAAACTAAAATCTAAAGATGATTTGTACTATTACCCAAGAACCTATTATACAATCGTATATTAGCTATTTTTGGCATTTGATCTCTGAAAACAGCAATCTGATCAAAAGCAATTTTGACTAACCCAGGTGTTTGGTCTCTGTTATTATCTTCAAATGCCACCTTACCATTTCCAAAGAATTGGTACTGATTAATTATAGAATTTACTTGGTCAATGACTATTTCTTTATACTGAATAGTACTCTCAAACAAGATTTTCCCTATTTTAGTATTCTTAGTGAGGCCAGATGCAGTTCCAAAGAACCACATAGTAGCCATTGGCGAGGGTGCTGAATGAGTTAAAAGCTATTGGATTTCTTCAGCAACATAATTGTGATGAGCATTATTAAATATTTTATGTGCTTTAACTCCATTACAAGCAAGCAAATGATTGAATAAAGTTTGAGTCAATCTATTTTTATTTCGGTCTAGAACACTATACAAGCTACAGATTTTTTTTCCTTCAGTTTCGTCCAATTCACAACTTAAAATGGCTTTAATGCTGACCAAATGCCACTGAGCATATCTGTCTTGATTTTTTTTAGTCATTACATTTAAGATGGGTGCCATTTTGATAAATGCTGAAAATCCTGTACTAGACTCGTTAATTTTTACAGGAAAAGAGGAAATAAATTTATCATAACTATAGCTTTGGGTAGGATAGTTATATAAATTGGGTTGATTTTTTTTCAGACAGCGATAAGAATTGGATACAGATTTCTTTAAATTAGTTTTAGATACATGAGAGCGTCTAGGTGGCATTTTAGACAAGATAAATAATGCAGTTTATTCGACTCAAAAAAAATCAATATTATTATATTGAAATATTAGAATAATAAACTCCCTTTATATAATTGTCAATGAAATAATATTGTTAATGCTCTTTTTATTTTTTATATTGATACATAATAAAAATCAAGAATCATAAATTGAAGTTTGAACAAAAACATTCATCCCAAAACCACATAGTCAAATTGATACATTAATTGATGCTTAAAAACCCAAAACAGTAATGGTAATAATTGATCGAACAAACAATTACCCAAAACCTTTATAAATAAATTTATGCTTAAAAACCTAAATAAGAACCAATTACCCAAAACTGTCATGAATTAATTTATCCAAACAAAAACCCAATTATCTAAAACAGTAATGGTAACAATTAATTGTAAAAACTCAATCAAACAAATTAATTACCCAAAATAATAACAATTAATACTTAAATAAAGCCTTAATTAGATACTAAAAAAAAACTAATTTTGTATACAATTGCGCATAAGATTAAGAATTTAATTGTCAACATTAAACAAAAGAAATAGTAATTGTAAGCCATTATGAGTTGGTCAAATTTACTGACCTGGTAAGCTGAACTAAAATTATTAGTTAAGTTCACCTATATCTCTAGTTCTTATTGGATAATTCGACCATTGTCTTTTTCTTAGTTTTTATTTTGCCGTAACTCATGATTCTAATTATAAGATTATAATACTGAGTTTGTCTTGCTTAATAAATTTATTTCTTGCAGTTGGCAATTCAATTATATGTCAAACTAGGATTTATCTGTACAATAAATTTAAATTCGTTAAAATATATAAAGTACTAAGTTTTTTTTCAAAAACTACGAAATTGTAAAATCAATAACAATTGCTAACATGCCAAAATTATCAAAGCAAAAACGTCATATGAATTACATAACATCTCAATGAAGTGAAATCCAAAAAATTAATAAACTTATACCTCAAATTAATCCTGAATCTCTTTCAAATATCCATGAAATTCTTACTAATACAATAAATTATTCAAGAGAAGGGGAAATATTTCATAATATTCACAAAATACCAAAACTACTAAAGAACAATATATTAAATTTAATCAAGCCAATACAAAATCTGAAAAGAAAGCATAAAAATGAAATTATTTTGGTTTATCTCCAAAGAAAAGCCCTCGAATTTATTATAGATAATCATAAAAATTTAAAAGCTAATAATGCAAAACTGAAATCAGCAAACTGAAAACTAATAAAAAATAATAAAAATCTAATATGTAAAATCTAGTTTATTAGTAGCTCCAATCAACATCTTAAAAATAAAATAGATAATCAACTTTCAACTATAAGATCATTAATATGCCAATGAAAAAAATTACCTAATGAAAAATTTAAATGCCAAATAAACATGTTATTTAAAACAAATAACAATAACTATTTATCTAAAATGGTTTGGCTATCAACAAAAATCTCACAAATCAGACAATCCTCACTAACTGCTACCGTCGAATCATTACATCTTATATATGAATTCTTGGTAGGAGAACCTTCACATAATTGGTTATCAGTATTAGCTTTATGCATCTGGCATCAAGAAGTATCTCAAATCGAAATTAAATATGCGATAGATCAAATTACCAAATGCTCCTGTTTTGGAATATTAGTTGATGAGTCAACTCGTGGGGAAGTAAAAAACTTCATTATGTGTATTATATTTTGGAATTATAATAAGAATATGCTATCAGTCATTAATATCAACCTTGAACATTTGCAAAATTGTACTGGCAAGTCAGTATCTGACACTGTTTTTAATTCTATAATAAATCACGGACTTGATCCCAAAAAATGTCTAGCTTGGGTAACTGATAACACTGCATATATATCCGGTAACATAAATGGTGCAGTGGTTCAATTCAATAAAAAAGCCAATATTAATACAACACAAATTGGTTGTGGAATGCATATAATGCATATAGTTCTATCACATTTTGAAGAAGAAGCATTCAGAAAATTACCTTCCTCAATAGGACTGTCAAGAAAGCCACAACCGTTTAACTTGTTATATCTAGCTTGGCATCTACATGATGGATATAATTCAAGTAACAAAGAAAAACCTCTTAATATGAGCTCAGAAAAGATTAAAAAACTATATAATAAATTATTAGGGTACCACTTTTCACAATATCAATTGCCGATTAAAGGTTGCTGGGGATATAAACTATGTGCTGCTTGACAGTATCTGGACTGGCGTGAAGCACATTTGGTTCATTCAAATGCTCGAAAATAATCATGGTACACCAGAATCATATCTTTCAGATTGGCGATTATTCCAAACCTGGCTTTTAAATAAAAAATTAAACATTCAAGTTTGGTGTTTAGTTAAATTTGGAGAGCATTTATATGAACTACTTATGCAATTCATGGTTGGAAAAGACCCAATACCTCATATCCTATCAGATAATTATTTAATTCAACTTCCACCCAGTCGGCGAGCCCACGAAATGTCTGACAAAGTAATTGAATGGATTAGTTTTTTAAGTGAACTTAAAGAAAACTTCGATACATTTTTTGGAGAAGAATTACTAATGGCGTTAGAAAACTTAAGTAATGAAGTTTTTAGTGAATTGTTTGATAGTTTAGAACACGGGATGAACAAGGCATATGAACATTTTTTAAAATGGATATCTTCATGGATGCATTTGCCATTGTTGATTTGCTGGTTGGGTAGAAATTCTGGTCATAAATTCGCAAGGGCATTCTACAATGTGGTTCTGCAATTACCATGGCCTTCAGAACTAACAGAACATGAAATAGAATTTCCGCAACAATTGCATGATGATTTTAAAATTTCTAATAATACCTTTGGCCTTCTAGAGGAATTATTAGATAGCTTAGAATTTATTGATGAATTTCAAAGTTTTTGTTCTACGCCCAATCCTAAAATTCATGAATACCCATTATTGTATAAATTTGTTAAAGAGCAAATTTACTTTATTGTAATCCACCAACAACAAGTGGAAGGGCTTTTTAACAAATTAGACTTAAAGACTCACCCTAATATGACTCAGAACATGAAACAGTCAAAATTACAGCTTTCGTCAGGAAATATAAATGAAGAAAACATTGCTTTGGGGCTTAAACAAGTTCGTAAAATAAAAGGCAAGCACAAGAATGTTTAGAAGATAATATAGAAATGTATGGGGAAGAAGAAGTGACTGAAGTTTTTTTAGACTTACTTCGACCTTAAGTATACTGTATATCGAAGCTACATAGAATCTTTTATTTCTTTATTCATAACTATAATAAAATAGTAAAATAATTATTAATAAAAATTTGAAAAGTTCAACCATCAAAAAAAATAAGTGTCAATGTTACTGTACTATGTATAATTGAAAAAAAATTGGGTATATCATATAAATATAGGACTATACATGTATTTGATTTACATAGTGCATCGAACACCCCAACATGTCGAATAAAACGAAGTCTAATATTTCTGTATTTGCGTAATAGAGTTATGAGTTTTAAGAGTTTAGTTTAAAATATAAAGGGCCTTTATCTATTTACGGGATAAAAGAGTTTCCCTTTATTAAATGTTTCTCAAAATAAATTTCATACATCGAATTATGCTCTAATTACAAAAGCAACCAACCTGTAATTTTCTATGAGCGATAATTAAAAATTTTATTCCAAGTTGAAACCCCCCTTTTATAATGATAAATTTAGTCTGGGGTTTTAAACTTCCCTTAGGAGCTTTCGACTCCCTCTAGGGGTTCATGACTCCCTTAAGGAGTCTTTAGTTTTCCCTGAGAGCCCTTAACTCCCTCCGGGAGTTAAAGACTTTCAATGTGCCACATTGATCACTCCCAGACCATACTAAAAAAATATATATTAATAGAAATAGATAATAATAAAAAATAAAAAATGATATTCCAAATCATAATATCATCCCTCTCTTGGAAGAATGAGCTCTCGCGAATTGACCCACATAACATTTATCTCATCTCTCCTCCAGGTTTGGGCTTCAGTTAACAATTGGTTGGTAAAGTCCTCTTCATACATCTTTTCTAAAATAGAGATGGCAATGTGTTCTACTAGATATATATACCATTCCCCTCTAGCCATGAAGAGTTGATATATTCTCTTCGATATTTTCGTGATAATCTTTCCCTTTCCTTTTGAAAAGTACAAGTGTAACTTTTTTTTTGCTGCTTCATTCCACTCCTTTTCTGCTATAACATTCCCCAACTGATAATAGATTTCTAAAACTTGAGCATTTGTCTTCAACTTAGGGTTCAAGTCAATAATTTTTTGACAGCAATAGCCTAATTTTTCATCTCAATCTTCCCCAGAGACCTCAAAAGGAAGAATTTGTCTTTAGGATCTCTATGATCTAAATCCAGTAGATAAATAAACATGCTTTCCCGAATTTTTTCAGGCAGAGTTTTTTTTTCAGGAATAAGAATATTTTCAAAGACTTCCTGGTTGGTCATATAAAGGACCACACGATCTTGGTCTAAGGTCAAAATTTCACCAGGTTTGAAAACAGCTGCTAGTCTTTGTACATAAGTCCTAATGTCTTCAAGTTGTTTTTTTATCTTGTTATTTTGGGAATTCTAATAAACACTTAATGGTTTTTATACTTTTTTTTTTTTTTTTATCGTTGTAATGTTTCAATAGGAAATAAGGCTGTATTTCGATCCACATACAGTTTTAGCTGGCTACTATGCACACTTTGTGCTATTACTTTTTCGTCTAAGGTTCATACTTTATATGTTCCATTGTTAAAGGTTTATGTACCCAATAAGGTTCGAGCTATTTTGGCTCTAACTTTCCACTCTTTTGAGCATCTAATTTCGACTTATATCGCCAAACCTTGTCTCTGATAGAAAAACTTCATAAAACATGTCAGTTATCATAGTCTATCTTTGATTTTCTTGAGATTGCTAGATATTTTCTATTGCGATGACATGTGACTCCCTCAAATTGTCTATTA